GAAAGCCCTAAAGCAATCTTTTCATTTAAAAATAAGGTTATTGAGACGGGCATGGTGGTGCATACCTTTAATCCCAGCACTCAGGAGGCAGAGGCAGGTGGATCTGTCTCTGTGAGTTCAAGGCCAGCCTGGTCTACATAGTGAGTTCCAGGACAGCTGGGGCTACAGGAAGACCCTGTCTCAAAGAGAAAAAAAAAAAAAAAAAGGTCATTGGGCCATTGGGCTGGAGAGATGGCTCAGTGGTTAAGAACACTGGTTGTTCTTGCAGAAGACCCGGGTTCGAATCCCAGTACCCACATGGCAGCTAACAACTGTCCGAAGCTCCAGTTCTAGGGGATCCAATGGCCTCGTCTGTCCTCCATGGGCATTGCATGACACAGGTGCACTTACCTACATGCAGGCAATACACTCATACACATAAAATTAAAAAAAATAATAAATAAATATTTAAAAAATAAGGTCATTGAAAAGCCTTTCCTTTGCAATCTTACATAAAGTTAGATAGGTAAGTAGGTAGGTAGATAGATGATAAATATAGAAAAGTGATAGATGACTGATAAGTGATAAATAGATGATTACTAAAGATAGATGATTGACTGATAAATGATAGCTGTAGATAGATGGTAGAGGATTAGTACATAGTAATACATAAATAAGAGATAGGTAGATAAATAGATGATGACTAGATACCATGACCTACTATTAATAGTAATGAGTACTCCAATTTTATAGCCTCTAGTGAATATGGTTCAGAAAGCAGCTTTTTTATTAAAGATTTAATTTCTTTATTTATGAGTGTTTGCCTACATCTATGTATGTGCACCATATGTCCAGTGGCTGTTAGAGGCCAGAAGAGGGCATCAGATTCCCTGAAACTGGAGTTAAGGATGGCTGCTTGTTAGCCAGTATTTGGGTGCTAGAAACTGAACCTAGGTCCTCTGTAAGAGCAGTTGGTGCTCTTAACCACCAAGTCGTCGCTCCAGACCCCCAAAAAAAGTTTGAAGATGACACCTGTCCTATTGCCTGGAATATTAGTAAGCTCGGGGTCTTAGTTCTCACTGCTCAGCACATGGGATGGGACTGCTGGGCCAAGAGAAGCTTGCTGTGTAGTGATTTCCTGAGACACAAATCCTTCATCTTAGAGGGGAAGCTTGTTAAATCAGAATGTTCTGAAAGGAGATCAACAATGGAATGCTCTAGAATTCTTTCTAGAACAACTCACTAGCTTAACAGCTCACTAGTAAACAATTCACTAGCTTAAGGAGGCCCTGAAATTGACCAGGTTCACTAGGCTCCTCCCTTGCCAAGAATCTAAAAGTCCTAAGGACTGCTGAGAGAGCTTTCAGACAAACCAAACCAAGCTGCAGAGAAGACTCAGGCAAGCAGAGCTGCCTAGAAGAGGCTCAGACCAACTGAGCTACCTGGAAAGGACACTCTCCAAAGTGTTGATCTGCCTGTAACAGGCTGTACAGTGCCCTCCAGGTTTCCAGGTTTCACAGGCTGTCACTCATGTTGGGGTGGGCTTCTGGTGGTACAGTTGTCTTTTGAGTCATTTCTGCCCTTGTAAGTAACCCCTTACCAATATTGTAAGTAACACCAATAAATCTCATTGATTCACCAAGTAGGTGAACCTTAATTTGGTATGTTGTTGGTTCCCTGTCTGGGTTGAATAGATGTTTGTTCATGTTGCCACAGGAATAGTGTCACACAACAAAACTCTTGAGACCAGAGCAATCAGTTCTGGGAATGCGTAAAGAAGGTGTTGGCTAAGCTTCTTCTCCAAGTGACCGGCAATAGGGTAGATGCCTTCTCTAGCTTCTCACCTGCTTGCTTCAGACTAATTGGACCCTAAGGCTCTCCAAAAGAAGGGTGGGGCAGAGGGAGACAGTCACCCCTCCCACCCAATCAGTCAGCCTTAACAGCATGAGGGGGTGGGACTAAGGATAGGAAAAGAGAAAGCCAGGGAAAAGGACAGTGCTTCGCCATCTTGGATCTGCCGGCAGCAGGTCTGGAAGCGCAGGTGTAATGTAGGGAAAAAAGCCCAAGGATGCTCATACTTCTGTAAGTACCACCTCATCACCATCATATGCTCTGTTGGCAAGCCCAATAAATCTTTTTGTTCCCTAAACTATAGTTTGGAGGACTATTTCTTGGTTTGTAGTAAGGATGACAGGATGGAGGAATATTTCTCGATTTGTTGTAAGGACGGGAAGAAGGGGGCTGTGCCTGGAAGCCTCATGCACCCCCCCCCCCAAACAGTAAATTTAACTTACAGAAGGGATCAAGTCCAGATTTTGTTAGAAGTGCAAGGCACAGTCATTGATAAGGAACTAAGAAGTTTGCCAGGCTGATCTTGAAGTCTCTGTGTCCTGGCTTTTTATTTTTATGGGCTCCTTGTAAGTCTTTAAATAGCGTATGGAAGATACGCATATTTTGTTTGAAGTACATCAAGAATAGAAAACTTGACCTGCACCTCTAAGGTCTGTAGCAAGAGGCATGTTGCATGGCTTTTTTCTAGCTAGAAAGTCAATGTCAGCTCAAGACCAGTGACTCAAGCAAGTACAGTGAGTATTCAGATTTTTCTCCCCTGGGCAAGGAAGGAAAGATGGTCAGTGATACAGTAATGTAGCCTGCGGGTTAAAACATTTGATTCAGTAGTCCAGGGAGAGAAGAAAATGTCGCACCAATCCACCTGGAAGTTCAGTGCTGGTAGGCAACTACCAACTACTTTGATGGTGAGGCTGATGCGATATCTGTATTTTCTTTACAGTCTTTATCCGTCAGTTCTTGCTATTAGGTTGAACCCTATAGATCTGCTGGCTTCCAACAAAAGTTGACCCAAACAGTACTTTCACAGGATATGACCTAGCATTGTTCAATACACATTAATTACAAAAACAAAGGTTGCTTATACAATTTATGAGAATAGCTTAGCCTCTATTTCCGAATGGCTTTCAAATGCCATACCATTGCCAGGGCTGGTGACTAACATCTATAATCCCAGCACTAAGAGGCTGAGACAGGAAGATTACAAATTAGAGACCAGCCTTGGTTACATGTAAGACCCTGCCCCAAAAAGACAAATAAGTAAATAAATACTATACCAGAAATGTCTAATAGAATTCAGGACCTAAATGTAAGCTACATGTATAATTTTAAATTTCTAATAGCCATGTAAAGTAAGTGTAAAGAGAAACAGGTGAAATTAATTTTAATAATACATTTTATTTAAACCCATATATCCAAAGGCATTATTTAAACATGTAATTGATATAAAATGTTTGGTGAGACAATTCCATTTTATATGGCTTTGTACTTAAGCTTTCAAAAATCCTATCTCAATTGAGATTAGCTACATTTTAACTTCCCAGGTACCAAATGTGACTAGCATATTGGATAATAAAGTTCTAGACCTTACACTTGCCAACCATGGTTTTAACCAGCGAGCAGTCCACTGTGAATCCCCCTCACTCTCCTGTAAAGTGGTTAAGTGTGGGAGTAAATCAGTTAGCTGAGTACGGTATCTGGTGAGGTACTGCAGTTACTATTAAATTGTGAGGGAAGAGGTCTTTCAACTAGCGACTTTTTAATGATTTGGGGCCTGTCATCAAAAGGTCAGCCTACAGCCTACAGACTCATGGATGACTGATGGTATGATCCATTTATGAGATGAGGATCTGGAGATTTTACACATTTAGAACTGAGACAGAGAAGTGTGGATGCAGGCCACAGTCTGGAAATGAAAAGGTCATTACTGCAGGGATTGCCATGACACTCAAGCAGGGCAAGTGTGGGACATCAAGAGTAAGAGTGGCATTCACTGAAAAGTCTCAGCACAGAGCGTATGACTGTCCCTCTGATTATTCACTTAACAGGAAGACCAGAAAACCAGGTATGCCCATCTTCATTGGAGGGCAAAGAAAATGCTGGGTATGTGGCTCAGAGATACAGCATTTTGTTAGTGTGCACAAGGCCCTGAGTTCAATCCCTAGCACCACCATCACCAGCAAAGAGAGGGATGGACAGGAGCAGGGAGGGAAGGAGGGACAGAGGCAATGAGTGGCTGGGAAATTTTCCAATGCCTTTGGAGCTGCTAGGAGCCTCTTTTCAATCACTGTGATCTGCCACAGCCTTTCATTCTCACCCATCACTCAATCGTGACATGAGCTGGGGCAGGTGATGGGCCTGTGGCTAGCTTACTCTACACAGACACATGGCCCAGGTTTGAGTGGAACCCTTTCTCTACCTAAGATCAAATATGACAAGATGTTAGAAAAAGAACCATTTCTCTCCTACTCCCATTCTCAAACGGATGGCTTGTTTCTATGTGACGTTTGGACAATGCAGCAGGTACAAACTAGTTCTTGCATTAGACAAAGCAAGAAAATCAGACTGAGTCAGAGTTACTTTTTTATTAGTTCTGTTTATAAGAGACTGGCAATTTACTTGAGAAGTCTGGTCTTGTAGATAACAGCCAAGGAAATTTGGGGGAATGGGGTGTGTGTGTGTGTGTCTGTGTGCATGCATGTGCATAGTGCTACGGGTAAAACTGAGGAGACGACCAGCTCAACCCCAAAATGCACGTGGCTCTTGTTATATCTGGCTGGCTCAGTAACTCCAAGTTATGGGGCTACAGGGGATCCTGTCTAGACCTGTTCTTTTGGCCCTGGGGTTGGCAGAACATAGAACCAGAAAGCCAAATTATGGTGCAAATATCTGTGCGTTTTTTCTGGTAGACAGTCAAGCTGGATGGAAACTAAACCCCAAACAATGACCAAACAGCAATAAATGAGAGTAAAAAGCACAGAACTTTCTCCGATCCTTGACAGCTATGTCCTGGCTCCGAGGCTGTGGCTTGGTATTTGTGAAATGAGCAGTTTATGAAGAAAGCATGTGAGCATCTTTAAACGTGGTTTTTCCCAGCTTAGCAACTGTCTTACCATCTCACAAGTGTTTTCTCGTCTCAAACATGATTCTAAGATAGGAAGAGCACAGCAACATATAACTGAAATAATTTATTTACCACTAGAGCACCACAAAAAAAACAGACATACATTGTGTTAAAATACAGCGTAATTGGTCATCAAAACACAAAACGGCTATTCTTCTATTCCATTTCTTTAAAACCATGCCAACCATAAAACTGTACTGCTGCTGAACAGGTACAACCAGCCGCCCCACCCTTATACTGACACGCCCCTCCCTTCCCTCCACCCTCCCCTCCCATGGCAGTATTTACTCATAGGAAATAAAGACCCTAGAGAACCCATCATTTTTTTTTTTAAAGATTCAAGAAATCTTAAAATAGAGCATTTAAAATATCAGTGCATTCATAAAGAAAGACAAAATAATACGAAACAAAAATGTCCTTTTATCCAAGAGAAAAAATACCTGCAGAGATAAGAGGGATTTACACAGAAATAATAGAAAAGTAGGAGAAAAAAACATGAGCACACACTCAAATCTGGGATTGTGTTGCACTGGACACAAGGGCTGTTTACTAGCGTGACAGCCCACTGCATCCCCTATGTGTCTTCTGACTTACGTATGGTCCAATTCTTTGTGCTGCCCTTTGGGTGAGACTGAAAATATTCCATGGTTGTATGGATCATTTTGTATTTTGAAGCTAATTAAATGACAAAGATAGCCAGGAAGGCCCACTGTGAGGGCTCTCTTCCACTAGGAGAGGTCAGATTATTTATTAAAACCAAATAAAATCTAGCTTCAGCTCGAGATCAGCCAGGTGAAAGAAAGAGTATTTGACATGGGAACATTTATCGTGTGCCTTTTCAACCTTCAAAGAATGCCTATAAAACTTGAAGTTCGGGGGCATAAATGACATGATGATTGCTGGCTTGGATGTTTCACCTTCGAAAAACTCAACTGAAATGGGTATCTTTCATTTCCCTCATGAACAGCAAAAACCTGATTAAAGAAAAAGATATTTTCTTTGAACTGTCTGCTTTTTAACAGCAATAAAATTCTATGAAAATACCAGTCAAATCAGGTTAGAGAGACTCTTCCCAGCCCAGTTGTAAAGATTCCAAGTTCAGATCCTTAAGCTCTCCCCCGAATTTCTGCTCAGTTACCTGTATCCGCAACACTTTCCATTTTCCTATAAGAAGCTTCTCTTACATCTGATTGGTAGTGATGTATAGAAGATGAAGGAAGACCACTGAACTAGAACTTTTCTTGCTTCGTTTTGTTCGAAAAAAGAAAATAAAAAGGAAAAAAGTGGACCCAGGTAGCTTATGTCAGAAAAAAATGGACAATACATAAAACACAGGTAGAGAGGCTATTATAAAAAAAAAATGTGTTTGTAGTACAAGTCAAAAATCTAGGAGTTTTACTCAGAAGTACTGGCCAGCTGAAGGAAACATACAATTATGAATGGTCATTTAAAAAGGATCCCAAATTTAAGTCCAATCTAAATCATAATTATTGTTACAGAATATAAAAAATATGGTAAGAATTTACACATTACACATAAAGTAGTTAATGCTTTGATTTAATAGTTTGTGAAAGAGATCTGCAGATGTGTTTTCAATTATGCTGGTTCCTAGACCCATCTATGTTACTAATATAGTTATGGTTACATATACCAAAACAGAGGTACAACCTGGATAGCCCTGCTGCAACTTCAAGGTCCAAATTCTGGCCAATACACATGAAACATTTCTCGATTCCATTGGCTTGATTAAACTAACAAAGAATCATTTACAATCAAAAGGAAAAAAAATCTTACAGACTTCAGACAGAAAGTTTTATTAACAGGCTTTTTAGGTGTTTGCGCCTACACGAAGCTTCATTAGACAGTCGGTACCCAGCACACATTCTTGGGGTGTTTATCTTTTTGCAGACTCACTTGGTCAGGTAATAACTCACTTAGGTTTTCATCCCATTATGACCTCTTTTGTTCTGGCTCATTTGAGTCCAAGTTCCTTAAGCCATCCATGAGTTTCTGGCAAAGTATTTGGTCTCCACTTTGTACACCTGTTTTATTTTCCAAGGGCAACGAAACGTTCATTATATAGTAACACAATAAATAACTCACTGTTAAGTCTGGGGGAGGGACAAGAGGGGCATCTATTGCATAGGAGTACAGAGGAATAGGGGAGGTATGGGGAGGGAACAATACGTACAGTCATTCCACTGCACGGATTTTCCTGTTTGGTTTTCTTTGCTTTCACATAATTAACACTAACAAATTCTTCCAGTGTTTGTTTTTTCCTTAAAAAAAGACGTTCCTGGTCTCTCTCACAAGTAGGTGAAACACAGAATGAGGCCATCCATGTACATTTATTGCCGTCTCAGCTCAGATGCCAGTTTTAACAAACAGAACCCAAGCTTGCAAAGTGTTTGAACTAGTACCGCTTTTTTCTCAAAAATGTTTAACATTGCTGAATCAAGACTCCCTTGCATTTCCTCGTCACACACGTCATCATCATTGTCGCCAGGCATCATCGTCACCGTTATCTTCGTCTCGCCGCTCTTCCAAGGATCTTAGCTGCATTTGCAAGACTTGACAATCATGTTGGACAGCTGTTCGATCTTGGGAGTTTTGCCAACGTAGTAGAGAATGGTCAGTGGTTCCAGATCCTGGGACACACAGCAAGGAGATGCGGAAGCTTCTGGATTTATGGTATTATACAAGCTGAGAACCTGCATGATACAACACAGGGAAAACACACACAAAAGGCAATTATTTTTACTTTCAGTTTTTGTATGTGTGGGCGTGTAGGTGCAGTCCACCTGTAAACAGACGCTGGAGGTTGACACTGGGTGTCTTTCTCAATCCCTCTCCACCTTGTTTATTGATTTATTTTTGATTTCTGAGACAGGTGTCTCATGGAACCTGTGGGTCACTGATTCCGCTAGGTTGGCTGACCTGTGAGCTCCAGGGGTTCTTTTCTTTCTGTTCCCCATGGCACTGAGGTTACATCATCACATCTGGCTTTTACGTGCATGTTGGGGACCCTAACTCCAGTCCTCAGGCTGTGTGCATCAGGCATTTTATCCACCGAGACATTTCTCCAGGTCAGAGCAATTAAGTTTGTAGTTTGTTTTGTTTTGATTTTTTGAGAATTTCACACGAGTACAGTATTTGCACCTTTTCCACCCATCCCAGTCCTTCCTCCAGCTTCTCACACCCACCCCCCACTCCTTGATTTCTTGTCCTCTTCTTTGATTATTATTGTTACATATATATATGCATTTATGTGCATACATATATGTGTATTATATAGATAATGTATTGAGTACATTTAGTGGTGCTCATGTGACGTGTGTTTAGGGTTGACCATTTGGGATTAGACAACCTATCAGGGAGCTCATCCCTGAAGAAAACCAGCTCTCTTTCCCTCAGCAGCCATGGATTGCTTGTAGCTCTCCAATTATCGATGGGACCCTGTGAAACTTCTCCCTTCCAGATCCGCACGTCAACTGGTGGTGTGATTATGCAGCTCTTGTTAGGCAGCCGTAATGCTGAGGCTCCCCTGACATGCCTATGATGCATGGTCTAGCAGCAGGTGTCCTGCTTCTCTGGCTCTTACAATCTTTCCACTTCCTCCTTTCAAACATTCCTCAAGCCTTTGCCGTAGGGGTTGTGTTGTACATCTACCAGGTGGAGCTAGGTACCACAGGGTCACTTGTTGTCTACATAGGATGATTAATTTTTAAAGCATCATTTCATGGTGTGGTCAGTCACATCACTGAGTATGCAACCTTATTTCTTTTTGGTTTACTGTTTTTTTTTTTTAACCTGTAAATTTCGGTTAGATTGGATTTGTTGAGCCTTAGCAATGAACAAATTTTCTTTTCACGTTGGCATGTCAGCTGATGCTGTCATTATGCAGTTCTTTTTAAGCAACCATAATGTTGCCTAATGTTTCTTTCTTTTTTTTTCTTTTTTGTAGATACTAAACAAATGATTCTATAGAGGTCAGATTGGACCAAATCTTTCATTTGGAGGACTTTTCTAATTTTTCCAGTAAGTCCATTCTGATCACTGCTTTGCTCAACAAATGTCCCAAACGTCTTACTGTTTGGTCTTATCTCTATACAGATTTGCAACTGAAGTTTCATGAATCCTCATTACAAATCCCCAAGAAGGTGAAGATCTCTTCAGAGGCTGGGACTGTGCTGACTTTGTTTATACTTTCTAACCCTAGTAAGTCTTGTCTGGATGGGGTAGACTCATATCCTTGGGGAAGCAATGATAGAAGAATAAATGTTCCACTGAAGTTCTCATTGGAACGGTAATCTACCCTTGGGTACAGGAATAATGCACATCTACAGCACAAATCTCCCCATGTCAAGTGTCTGCACAGGCCAATGAAATGTCATTTTCATTAAAAATAATCTTTCCCCCTGTCATTACTTCATAATTACAGTGATGCAAACAATAAAAATAAGCAGAGCCATGTGCATTCTTTGCTTTGCTTTGTTCTGTTTTGGGACAAGGTCTTCCTTATGTAGCCCAGAGTGACCTCAAACCCACCATGTAATAGCTCAGGCTGGCCTCAAACTCACTGTGTAGCCCAGACTGCTCTCAAACCCATTATCCTCCTGCATCAGCCTTTTGAGTGATGGGATTACAGGCATTCACTACCTCACCCAGCTAATCTACAGTTCTAATTATTTACTTTCTTATTTTCTTTCTTAAAGCAATAATAGTAACTATCCCTCAAATACTCTTCCTCATGGTAAATGGGGATGACTAAGTTCAAGGAGTAAACACCAAGTCCTGCAGCTATTCCCTGTCAGAGGGGTGGGTGACTCTCACTAATGGATGTGTATAGGTTACCCAGTGATGACACAGAGACATTTCCAAGGATGCTGTTAATGTGTAGTCAAGCAAGTGACCTTTTCCTCGAGATTCCCCGAGATGTTTTCAGCTGAGGACAGAAGATCTGTTGAGCACACAACACTGACTACTTTATTAAGCTACCCCTGGCTTCTTGGGGATCTGTCCAAACCACATATTTGTGACCATGACAGTTATTCTTCCTCTCTCCTTGAAAAACAAGCCTGGTCTCAGCCTTCACACACTCCCTTTGTGTATCAGGGAGGAGAATTACGTTTCTACTTGGCAACTGGGTCGTGCCCACATTACAGCTACTGCTGCTGCAGTCCAGATGCAGCAGGCTGGACAGAGAGCTCAGAGAAAGGGACAAGCATGAGCCCACTTCCCTCACATGGCCAAGCACGTGGTAACCCCAGAACACCAAGCTACAGGGCTGGTGGGAAGATGGCTGGAGGAGGGGAACCATATTTGTCTACTTCCATTCTAGCCCATGCAGGCCTTTAATAAATAGATTTCATATTACACTGATACGTGGTTTTTTTCATGAGAAATGAAAAGAGCTGTTTTTATAACACAGATTGTCTAAAATAATTGATAACCCCCCCAAATTCTTGAATTTAACCGAACGCATTATATGATCTTTTTGGCAGCAGATCCATTTTCCTACCCTGCAGTGAAGGCAGTTTTCCTAATGCCTCTTTAATAGGGAGATTTACAGAGGCATAAAGGACAGAACAGAACCCCCACACATAGCCACACTCTAGGAATTAGGTTCAGTACAAGGGAGCAGTAGAGGCCTGGTTAGTAAACAAGCAGTTCTGCACTCCAAGGTCTGTTACTAACTTTCAGCTTCATCTTCAGCAGGGTATCTACATAGTCTAAATCTCTCTCTCTCTTTTTTTTTTTTTTAAAGAAGAATTAAATGGTTGGACAAGATCATTTACAAAATCCTTCCCATCTCCAAAATCGCATATCATGAGCCACACAGAGAAAGTTTCCATGGATGAATGTCATTATTACACAGCAAGTTTGTGCTCATCTAGGCTGGAAAACACATGACATCCAATCTTGGGCCTTCCAAGTCAGCCTTCCATCCTCACTGGAGTAACTTGATAAAAATCCCAAAATACTTGCTTACAAAAGACTTAGATATCTGGGTGCATGCCTGTAATCCCAGCACTTGGGACACAGAAACAGAGGGATTATCATTCCAAGGCCAGCCTGGTCTACATACTGAGTTCTAGGCCAGCCAGGGCCACAGAGTGAGACCCTATCACAAAGAACAAAGCAAAAAAGATTTAGAAATACTCATTTTCAAACACACCCTATTTTTATATTTTACAACAACTCTTAAGTTTGGAATTATTGTTTTAAGGATAAGTTTTACAACAAACATTCCTTTCCACTGATAAAAGCTGGGTGTGGTGGCACACGCCTTTGATCCCTGCACTTGGGAGGCAGAGACAGGCAGATCTCTGTGAGTTCAAGGCCAGCCTGGTCTACATAGCGAGTTCCAGGTCAGCTGGGGCTATAGGGAGACCCTGTCTCAAAAAAAAAAAAAATTGAGATTCAGAGGGGGTAAATGATTTCCTAATAGCCGTACTCTAGTAGATCAACATGCCAAGGCTTTGTCTGCAGTGCCCAATAGTCTTTCTAATGTGACAAGTGACAGTCCCTGGTGTCTGTTTTATAGTCTAATTAAGAAGGCACAACCTACTGTTTAAAACTGACCAGTGGTTTTTTTCTGATTCCTACAACCCACATTGGTCTTCACTATCTATAAGGATTTCCTCAGCACCCACGCATGACAGACAGCAAAAGGACACCAGGCCTGTGACAATTCATATAGAAATATGACCAGTGGGTATACTGATTGAGGCAAGGTAGAAGAGGCCAGCTAGCCAAACACTTACCCTACTGTGTTGAGTGTCTGAACTCCACAGATACGGGCATGCCCCAGCACAGAAGTTGGCATTGTACCCTTTGGGTTCATGGATCCATTTCCACCCAAGATCCCTCTTGAAATCAATGTAAAGGGGACGTAGGCAGCAATTATCCTGCACATTTCTGTTAAAAGAAAAATCAGCAGGGATTTCAGAGCTGATTTCCCACCTGCTTCCCCCCCAAGTCAGAAGAATGACCGATCCATTTATTCAACATCTACTGAGAAAACACCATGAGTCAGGTCTTAATGATTCTCTTGTAATCCGCTATGATTTCCATAGTGAGATGCTGTGGTGATTCCCCAGACTACTTCCCCTTATGCATTCTGACCCCCTTGTCAATGAGCTGGAAAGTCAACATTGCCGTCAGTTGAGTACACATAACCAGGGACAGAGTCCTTTCCACCCAGTACTGGTCAGATCTAGGATTGAGCTTCTGTTGCCCTTTTGTATATGCAACGACTGAAACACAACAAACATTTTCAGAGAACCCCCTAAGGCATTAATCTTTGCGAATATATCCTGTATTTTACCACCTGTTACTAGATCAAGGAATGAACCAGACTTCAAGGAATATGGGGTCTTGCTGCCATAACCACCAGCCTTGGCAACCAAAATATTTCTCTATTCACACACCGTGGCCTGGTGAGCACTTCACAGAGAGGCCCCTGTCCTGCCCCACAATTTCCAAAACAGAGTTCTCCTAGAGGAAGCACAGAAGACTGTGCACGCTCCCCCTCCACGAATTCATATAAGGTAGAAAATAGACTGTTGCTGGGTCCGTCCTTTGTCTCACATTCTGCAACTCAAGGCATGGCCAGCAGCCAGCCCTCTTGTACCGTCTTATCTCTGTAACTGAGAAAGAACTCAGACCCTAGGATGAAGACTTCATACCACTGGTGGGACTTTCTGAATTATCCAAAATCCAAAATAAACTTATATTTGCTTCGGGGGCAGAGATCTAATTCTTTACCAGCCCCTAAACACTTCAGACAGACTCGAAGAAAATATTCCAGAAGCTAGTTTTCTCCCTTCGCACGCGGTTCACTGTTAGAGAGCTGAGGACCACAGCACAGACATAACTATTTGAAGGCCTCAGGAGAATGGTGTTATGAGATACGAGAGCTTTACTGTCCTGTACCTGGCCTTGAGCAATGAGTTCAATTCAGGTCAGTGTGCAGGAGGGTAAAGCAAAGGTGGTACAGGGGTTAACAGATGTGATGCCTGGTTCTGTTTTCATTTCTTTACCTAAAGCAATAGGCTGCATCCAAAGCGCGCTTCTTCCGCCGGTTGGACTGTTGTGATTCCAGTCTGTAGGAGGGCAACAACATTAGCAGGAGATGTGGGGTCTTCCCACTGTTTTTTTTCCTAGTGGACTTTATAGTTTTCTGATCACCACTGGTATATGTGGAGGTGCCATCAATACCTTGAAAAAATGCATTTGGGTAATAAACATTTAGCTTTACCTTCATCAAATATAACCAGCGATATTTATATAAATAATAGTTCTCCTCTGTATAGCGTCACAAATAGCAGGGATGACCACTACAGTTGTGCCGACCGGCTAACATCATTCCCCACGGAAGGAAGCAGATGAGGCACAATGGGAATCCCACAGGTGACACACTTGAATGGGGCTCCTGTCCTAAGGCTTTCCTGTGTCCAAGGCAGAGCTGTTGCTAGGAAAGTCACTACAGAAAGGTCTTTGACCTATGGTCCAAGGGCAATCTAGGCCATTTATTTTAGTCCACCCTCAGTGTGAGTTGTGTTCAGGCTTTCAGCAACAGAGTACACAACCATAGAACATGCCTTGTCACCCGCCAGTTCCCTCTCTTCCTGAGACTGCTAAACTCAGAACTTTCCTAATGAATATAAACTAAGGCTTAGCTGAATGGCAGTGAACTAGGTTCAAGTGAAACAGAAGTCACCCTTACCTAATGCTATTTGGGGAAGCTGTGAAGAAAGAGCTTTTTCATTTATTTTATGGCACCCTCAACACTTTCCTGATTCCATCTGAGATTTAGAAACTTGAGCTCCCCAAAGCATGCTCGAGAGACTGCCAGTTTAAGCATTTAATCTCCACACTCAAGAGAATCATGGCGAGGTTAGAGACCGAAATAAATCTCAAGACCTCTGGGGGTACTTTTCCATGAGCAAGGGTCACTGGGGCCTTCAAAAAGTGGATGGAGGTCCCAGGTAAGGTTATGAGGGAAGAAAATGCGTCTGACCTGGAAGCGCAGGCTGTTGCCACAGAAGCCTATGAGCACAGACGTCCCAGTTACCTCCTTACCCAGCTCACTGTCCAATAAGCCAAGTGACTCGAACCCTTGGCATCTCCTCATTTACTTTGGCCTTTGGCTAGTTCACTTAAAGGTGAGTGTAGGAAAATGAAGTCCTTGTTATGTGTTTATAAGCTCTTATAAAAACCTGATAAGGAACTCACTTCCAACAATGGGTGTGGGCTAGAAAGGATGCTAGGTCCCAACACCTGGGTTATAGAAACTGAAGCTTCAGAAGATAGTTTTTCATTGTGAAATATATTTGCTGGTGCCTGACGTTGGGTTGGGAAAACCAGAATGGATCTCTTTGAATGCATGCTGTCTACCTCAATCATCTCAGAACAGGTGGGAAGACGGTTTGCTCAACTGAACACGAAAAAGCTTCACTGGGTAACAGTTTGCAAGATTAATGAGCCAGTTTCATCACCAACAGCAAGCAGTACAAACTGGAATCCATCACTTTCTTCAAATCCTTTCTACTTTCTTTTTAAGATTTTTATTTTACTTTTAAATTATATATGTGTATGTGTTGTGTGGGTGTGTGCATGTGAGCGCAGGTGCCTGTGGCAGTCCAAAGATGGCATTGGATCCTCTGGATTGGGGTTCTAGGCATTTGTGAGCCAAACCCAGATCCTTTGCAAGACCAATGCATACTCTTAACTGCTGAGCCATCTCTCCAGCTCCGCTTTCTTCCGTCCTCCTCTCCCACCAAGCCTGTCATTGCCCAGGTGAATGAAAAGTCCCCACACATCACTAAACAATCCCATTCTGTCATGCAAACCGACTTTACCCCCAGATGAAATTCTCACGTTATTGACCAAGTTTCAGTTACCTGCAAATCTGGCTTCAAGCTCCTCGCTCTTATTCGGGATGATGTAGTTGTTAGATGGTACAAAGGTGCAGCAGGGGCAGTGCAAACTGATCTTAAATCCCAGGTTCCTGTCTGGAAAACAAAGTGAAGGATGTCATTTAGTGTGCCTGTGTCTGCAGTCAGCTCTCAAGTGGCCGGGGCCACATCTAGGGAGAGAAGATGCGTGTAACCTTTGTGGTGCAGCCATTCCTGTACCGCGTCAGTCACGTCGAAGGACAGCCACTCGCCCTCGGCTCTCGTTTTGACCACCTTACTATCAATGTAGCGCTGAGTTGGAGATGTTAGATCTTTGGATTTGAGGATCTGGAGTGGTGGAGAAAGGGCAAGAGAAACAGCTCAGTCGGCATGCTGACAACATGGCCAAATTCAAGCCACTCCCATTTTTCCAGGTCTACACTTAGCTCCACGCCTGTGTCCACGGATTGCCCTCTCAAAGCATGACCATGTGTGTAGGAACACAACGCCAGGCCATTTGCCCTGAAAAATAGACGTACTAAATCAGCTGCATGTTATGATAATGGTGATGGCAGCCATAAAGCCTAGTGTCTGAAAGAAAAGTGACAGCGATTATTTTACTTTGCTGACATAAGCTTTGTAAGATTCCGGGCATAAATTCTATGCCAGGAAGTTCGCAGCTTTTACTTCTTCCTTCTTTAATTTGGGGAGGGGCAGGAGAAGAGGCCCTGTTCAGAAGATCCATACCCACCTTCCCAAGTCCCTGAACTATAAATCTCCTTCTAATAGAGACAGAAAGGTCCTCCTCCTGTTTCCTCAATCCACTGGCATTAAAATATGTGTCTTGCCTCTGCTTTTGAGGTAAGCCTCTAGCTGGGATTTTTGCTTTCAATGTGACTGGCTGTGATTTATGAAGAAATTCCCCATCCTGCCATCTGAGAAGGGCTTTGGGCAGGAGTAGTCTGGCACAGTGTGCGGATTTGGAGTCTGGAAACAAATCAGCCTGAACACTGAGACTTTAGAAAGGCTCAGAAGGCACACTGGTAGGAAGGGTGCTCTTGAGCCTTGATGGGAAGTGAACGTCTGAGGTGGTTTTATTTTTTAACAAATCCATCTTGAAACGATAATGTTTTGTGAACCAAATCAAGATCCGCAGTCTCCCAGAGCTCCCTGCCAAGCCCCGTGGCCTGTCTTTCTGCAGTACTCGGGTTCAAGCAGGGTATATTACACTGTCCTTTCTGATACTCCACCTAACTTGGGGTCACTTCATACTTAGGGGGTTTGGTCTTTCCAACAAATTCATAAGCTTCTTCAGGTCAGGGGTCATATCTTCAACTTGGTATCATTTCAAAGCCCAGAACTCTACTGTGTCAATGATTACTAAATCATTATTTGGATACTTAGATATTTATTAATTCTCCTGAAAATCTTGCAAAACAAAAATACGTTTCCTTCCTAATAATTTTTAAATGCGCCTTTTCCCATGTGTCGTCACAGTTTGTTTCAGGTAATCTGGCAACAATGCTTCCTGGAATATTTGAAGTCAGAATAGAGTTATTTCTCATAGATTAACAAAGTACAGAAAAGAAAACAGGGTATGGGGCTGTAGCTTAGTTGTAGAGTGCTTGTCTAGCATGTACCAGGCCTTCAACTAGTTCTCTAGTACCAAGAGGGAGGGAGGGAGGAAGGGAGGGAAGGAGGGAGGAAGGAAAAGGGGAAGGAGGGAGGGAAGGAGGAAGGAAGGAAAGGAAGAAAATAGATTCAATACAATTAGACTCTCAGGTACCCTCATGAACTTTAGGCAAATCCTGCTCTTCAGGCCCACCCCTATAGCTGGGCAAACCCCATTAAAGGAAGAGAATGTAGGGTAATCAGAATCCTGTAATAGGCAAGAAGCTTTCTTTATGAGTTACAAGAAACCAATGAGCATGACTTGAGGGTTGGGTACAATGGACTCTGGGCTAAACACACATTATTTGGCTTAATTTAATCCTCCAAAGATTCCTGTAAAGTAGATTAAGGAAATGGAAAATCAGGGTGCATTCAAACCCTCCCCACCCTGCCCCATTTCCCCACTTCATTATGACAGCCAGAGAAGGACCATGGTTCACTCTGACCCTTTATCAAATGGCAGAGAGCCTTCAACAATAAAAGCAAGGATCTTTAAACAAAATTATAATGTCTTGATACAGGTAGAATGCATACTTGGTTAAAGCTGATATAAAGCTCTAACAAAGACTTAGCAAAACATCAGTCGGTCCTCTGGGAATATGAGCTAGTCTTGAAAATAGCTACCAGTTGGGTATATAAGAAAGCACTTATCCATTCAAGAATAAATGGCACAATGAGCTCAAGATGGACTAGGAATGGTAAACAACAGTGGAAAGACGCAGCCTCTTCCTTCTGCCCGACTGGCTCACAGCTCACAACACTCAGAACTCCTACCTCTGCTTTGACTTTTTCTCCTAGCTGGTCTCCTGTGATGAACCATTGTTACGGGACATTTTGCATATGTGCAGTGCTGCTAATTAACACGTGTAGATTATTCACCTTCGCATGACATTTAAGGACACCACCCAGAACAATAACCTGCTTTCATTGTTAAATTATTTATAAATTCTATATCCTATAATTAGGAGCTACTGTGATAGAAAATTTATATTCTATAAATTATGAATATCTAAATATACATCAAATGTCTGTGACATACACGATGCATCTACATGATTACACACATATACACATACATACATATATCTATATATCTATCTATATCTATCTGTATATCTATATATATATATATATAATATCCAGTCTTGCTGTGGATAAAACAAGTACGCACTGGCAAACTGATAGAAAAATTTAAAATAACATATTATGTATGTGTGTAAGAGTGTATGTGGGCATATGTGTGCCATGGTGCACATGTCAGAGCACAACTTGTGAGAGCTGGTTCTTTCCTTCTGTGTGTCTCAGGAGTTGAACTCAGGTCCTCAGAGCTGGCAGCAGACGCTTTCACCTACTAAGCCACCTGCTGGCCCATTGATGGAAATTATTTATCTCATAAAGGAATAAATTTAGATTATCTTGGTTTCAAGAGCAGGAATCAAGGACAGCAAGGAGGTTTTGTTGTTTTAAGTCTCACTAAAGACTTAGGGGTGAGGACTCCCTGAACCACAGACAAGGGACAGCTCCATCCTCTTACCAAGGTAAAAAGTCTGATAGATTTACAATATTTTTGGCACTAGCTCAAGATTCACAAAAAGGCCACATGTAAATCACCCAAGAAAGACAGCAGACACAATAATTCTGAGACAGAGGAGTGACTTTTGTCTTGCCAGTTCAGTGTCCTGAGCTCTGTGGACAAGGGCTTTTTAAACCCACTTGTCATCTAACTGCAGTCTCCTCAGCCTGTCCTTAGCAGAAACAGGAAACAGCTGCTTCTCGCCACTTAGAGACTATCCCTCATCTTCCTAGAGACTGTTATTAAGTCCCCCTCGCCATACGTTTTCTCTCTCTAAGCTAAATAGACTGAGTTTCTTTAGCCCGTATTTAGAGGGGCAGACTCCCAAACCTTTAATCATTTGGGTGGCTAACAAGGATAGAGGATGCTATTTAAAAGTGTTCCCCCATCAGCTTCATGATTTCACCTCAGGACTGTCTAGAAAAGCTTCTAATCATATCTCACCATGGAATTGTCACTTAAAAACTATCTTCTTCCTAAGAATAGGTACCATTTCCCTGTTCCTGTTTATTCCCATTTAATTAAGCTTGAAGGAAGAAGGCATACAGGAAATCAGCCTGCTGCCTCTCTCTGCTCAGTAGCCTTTCTTATGTTCAAGGACTCATAAAGGACTAGGGAGACAGCTCAGTCAGTAAGTATCTGCTGTGTAAGCATGGACCCAAGTTCATATCCCCAGTGAAAAGCCAGGTGTGGAGAAGAGCATCTGTAACTCCAGTGTTTGGGGAGCAGAGACAGGAGATGTCAGGAGCTTCCTAGCTAGCCAGCCCAGCTGAGTGGATGAGCCCCAGGTTCACTAAGATACCCTGCTTCAAAAAATAAGGTGGGGCACCATCAAAGAAGACACCCATGGTCTACCTCTGGCCTCTAGATGTATGTGCACGGACACATGCAGACACATACACAGGCACACAAAGCAAGTCACATAAAAAGTGAGCAGAGCAGGCAGCTCTTCCTGCTGCCTGAGCCTGTCTTCAGTCTCCAAACCAGGGTACTGAATGTGAACAGCTGGTGATTTCTTCCAGATGTCACTTGTCTCTACGTTTCCTTCTACATTGTACCATGGCAAAGATAACCAGCTGAAGAGTCGCTCTCCTCCTTGGCCCAATTCACCAGTGCTGTCTGTCCTTCCAGATTCCGCTGACTGATACCACAGCACGCTGGGGTTTTCCTAAAATTTACCCCTCTCCTCCACTTCCTGTCTTGAGAGTTGAATTGTATGCTTAGCAAATGCCAATTGTACATGCTTCTAAACTGACTGATGATACCTGGACTTGGTATTGAAATTATACAAGTTAAAATGACCAGAAGCTGATGAGATACAGGACTAAAAGAAACAAGAGGTATCCCTTCTGTAAAAACCGAAATGTTTTGGAAAGTCTTCCTCATGACAATTTGCTGTAAGAAATAAAAAAGGTGTTTCTTCCTTTTTTAAAAAAAGAAAAAAAAAAAAACCAGTTTGTCAGCTCCTCAGAAGAGTGAGCACAATTACCACACGATCCCAGGTGTAACCAAAACGGATTGAAAGCTCAGACTCAAACAGGTAATGTATGCAGATATTCACAGCAGTGTTGCTCAAAAGAGCCAAAACGTGGGGAAAGATCAGCAGCTGAATGGGAAAGCCAAGTGTAGTATATTTAGTAGAATATTAGTTAGCCATAAGGAAGGAAATTCTGATCCGTGCTAATCATGAGTGAGCCTTGAGCACATCAAACTCAGTAAAGTAAGGCAGACAAGGAAGGACAAATACCTCACTCATATGTGAAGCTAGGCTAGGAGAATTTATAGAGAAAGAAAGAAAAATCCATGTTACAATGGGTTGGAGAAAAAGGGTAATCGGATACAGTTTCTGTTTTGGATGATTAAAAAACAAATCCTGGCTGGTAAGACGGCTCAGTAGGTAAAGGTACTTGGTGCCAGGGCTGATGTCCTGAGTTCCATCCTTAGGACATACATGGTAGGCAAGAACTGACTCCCACAAGTTGTCCTCTGACCTCAACAAATGTACCATGACATATGTGTGAGTGTGGGGGGGGATGTGTATGCATGTGCCACACGTACTTAATGCCACCTCCCTGAATAAAGATGGCTAAAAGCTGATTCGTGA